TATACAGGTAATAAAGCACGAGGATATTGTTGTAAGAGGATATTGTTGTAGGTATACAGGTAATAAAGCACGAGGATATTGTCGTAGGAGGATATTGTCGTAGGAGGATATTGTTGTAGGAGGATATTGTAGTAGGTATACAGTAATAAAGCACGAGGATATTGTGCTTCTATTTTTCCTATAAGAAAGCAGAAGGATATGGTTATGGTGCTTCATCTTTCCTTTAAGATAAGAAACAGAGAAACAGAGAGTTTGAAGTTACTACAATGGCAGCGGTTGACCCTCACTCGTTCACGTAGGCATCGCAGCCACGGACGAAGCACGTGTCCCTGAGTCTGTACCTTGACTTCTCGAGCTCCATCATTCACGCCTCCGGACTCTTCCTTCTGGAAAGGCCACACCAGGGGCCATTCTCCCTGGACACGAGGTCCCTCACCATTCATGGCGTGATCGACCCCACAAGCAGAGCCTCTCTCCCCTTCACTCTCTCCTCGCCGGACCCCATAAAAGGGTCGGAGCTCTCCATCACCCTCTCCGATCACTCTTCTTTTCTCATCATCTACTGCACCTCCCCCTCCTCCTCCGCACTACAATGGCTCCTACCACCCCAAACCTTCGCCAAGTCCCACCCTTTCGCCTACACCCAATGCCAGGCCATCCACGCCCGCTCCGTCTTCCCCTGCCAGGACACTCCCGCCGTCCGGATACGCTACTCCGCGCTCCTCAACATCCCTTCGGAGCTCTCCGCTGTCATGTCGGCGCGCCACGTCCAGCGTCGTTCACCCAAAAAAGACGACGCTTTGGACGTCGCTACGCCCTCTCCATGGTGCGCGGAAGGGAGGGTGGTGGAGGAGTTCGAGATGGAGCAGTCCGTGCCGCCTTATCTCTTCGCGCTCGCTGTCGGAGCGCTTGGAAATAGGGAGGTGGGGCCCAGGACGACGGTGTACGCGGAGGATGTGGCCTCTGTGTTGGACTCGGCGGCGGCGGAGTTCGCCGATACGGAGGATTTGGTCAGGGAAGCGGAGAGTCTGTTCGGACCGTACGAGTGGGAGAGGTTTGATTTGTTGGTTTTTCCGCCTAGTTTTCCCTATGGGGGGATGGAGAATCCAAGGATGGTGTTCTTGACGCCCACTGTAATCAAGGGCGATGCGTCCGGGGCGGAGGTTGTGGCTCATGAGCTTGCTCATAGTTGGACTGGGAATTTGATTACCAACAAGAACAATGAACATTTCTGGTTGAACGAGGTATTTTACTGGGTTTTTGGTTTCATGTCATGTCATCGGAAAAATCGTGTTGCGATGTCTAAAATATCAGCTTGTTTAGTGGCTCCAATTGACTTTTGTTAACCAAAAAAATCAGACTTATTGGCTAACGTAATTATACAAGGCTTTGTTCACTAAACTAATTTTTGCAAATGGATTGAAAAAAAAATTATTTCGTTTTGAAGTAGTTGTATGATTTGCAGGATAAACACTTCTTTATCATCCGATGATATGCAAAATTTAAAAGAATTCAATATGAAATTCCACCTTTATCTTTTTATAATTTGATAATTTTTAATTTTGTATATGACAAACATAATTTGCTGAATCAGTAGAAATATTCGATTCTAAAATAATATTTTGATGAATTTTAAATAAAGTAATTTTATTTTACTTAAATAAAATATTGGGTTAAACAGTGTTTAGTTTTCGAGGACTTAAACGAACGTTTCGAAAAGAATGAGGACCAAATTGTACCTTACTTTGAAAGAGGGACGAAAACCAGAAACGACATATAGTTTAGGGACTAAAAACATATTTAACTCTAAAATATTATTTTAATTCTTTTTAACTTTTATTCTTTTTTACTAATTAAAATATTTTTTACTATTAAATATATTGTTAATGAATATTATTTTATATTTTTTATTACAATTAATATTTTGATAATCTTTAATTTTGATTAATTAAATAACTTTTTTTTATATTACTTTTCATAAATTTTACTTTTTGAAATCTATTTTTACTCATTTCCAAATTCATTAAAAACAATAATAATCAATTTATTTTCAAATCTTTTTTAAATTCATTCACTCACTTTCTTTCAAAATGGAATAGTTAGCATGGGTCCAGAATTAACTTTTTGATTAAAACAAATCTAGGTGGTGGGTAAATTTTTACATATGTACTGCTAAATTGTTTTTAGAGTAAACAACATAGAACATGAATCCATTCTAATTAGAGTCAATCTTACAATGGCTTAATTATACATCAGTACTTTTGTTGTTGGGCTTATGCTTTCAAGTCCCGCCTTCTTTTTTGTTTGACAAGTGAAAGCCTAATTAGAGAGCAATTCGTTGAGTTCATCCTTCTAAAATAATAAAAATCGTGTAAAGACAGACTTATGTTTTTCTGTTTCTAGTTTCCGTATTTGACAAGTTGCCACGGAGAAACAAATAGTGTTCTGGTGCTAGATGTTACATTTTTAATTCATAAACATAATTGTTTTGTGGTTTCTACGAACAAAGTTGAATCTGTGATGGTGAAATCATTCCTGATTGTGATTCCAGGGCTTCACTACTTATGCGGAGAGAAGGATTGTGGAGGCTGTACAAGGAGAACAAATAGCCGCATTGTACAATGGAATTGGTTGGAGGGGTTTGATTGAGGATGTTGAGAGGTTCAAGGACAACTTGGAATTTACAAAGCTAAAAAATAATCAGGAAGGAATTGACCCAGATGATGTGTTTTCTCAGATTCCATATGAGAAAGGTTTCCAGTTCTTATGGCGCATTGAACGACAGGTATCTGAATTTGTTTTTTCTTGTTCTGATGTGACATGCCCACTTTGCATCATATTCCTCCTGATATTTGTTTTTGTTTTGCAGAGATTCTGCATTAACTATAAGTATTAATTGTTAAACTATGTTCATACTTTGCTACTGTTTCTTTTTCTCTTCTCATGTTGAGTTGTAACATGTGTGCATGGTCTGTTTGTCATTCTGGGGCTAAACCTAACCTAATTTGTTGGAACTAAGTCTTTTGTGGTGTGATTGGGACAGGTTGGGAGACCTGCATTCGATGAGTTTCTGAAGAAATATATTGCTACCTTCAAGTTCCAATCAATTGATACTGAAACATTCCTTGACTTCCTTAAAGCTAACATACCTGGCATAGAGAACCAGATTGACTTGGTGCGGTGGACGGAAGGTACTGGCATTCCTCCTGATGCTTATGAACCTGATTCAACTATTTATAAACAGATTGTTTCACTGGCAAATGAGTTCAAAAATGGGAGGATTCCAAGGGAAGATGAAGTTGCTGATTGGCAAGGTCTGCAGTGGGAGCTCTACTTGGAAAACTTGCCGGAACCGATTGAAGCTTCTCAGGTTAATACTGTTTTCTCAGATTCCTAGTGGTCTTTTTCTTCACTTCCTTGGTAACATCATTTGGATAAACATCTTATTCTGTAATATGGAACATAGTGGTTTGTTCAAAACAACCATATTGTTGATTTCACATATGTTATCTGTGTTATTCATCATAATTCTTTGTATAATACATGTCATCATGCAGCTTGTAGAGTTGGACTCACGCTACAAGCTAGCTGAGTCGAAAGATTACGAGGTAAAGACGGCATTTCTCAAATGGGCTATTTCATGCGGATGCAAAACTTACTACAATGAAGTGGAGAAAACCTTAAAAGAAGTTGGGAGGATAAAGTATCTTCGTCCACTTTATACTGCTCTTATGAGTGGGAACGAAGATGATAAAGTATTTGCCAAAAGAGTATTTCCAGAAGCCCGTGAGTCTTACCATCCGATTGCTCAAAGTGTTGTTGAGGGTATACTTTCCAATAATCTGTAGAAGCAACAATTATCGGATTGTTTAATGTATTTGGACGTTTGCATGTTGTCTTTTTCTGTACTCCTTTACAATAAATGAGGTTTATCTTCATTCTGGCACTTTAATAACTACTGCAACGAGAATCTCTTTCATAATTCTTCTTCTTGAAACATTTCAGCCATTGATATAGGGTTATCTGGAGAGGAGAAAGAGTACATAAAAATTAGTGATGGAGATTTCTACTGTAAGATTTTTATATAATAAAGAAGATTAAAGAATTTTCATTATATTGAGGACTTTTTTGTCTATCTTAGGAGAGAAAGGGATCATTCGTCGGCTTATTTCTAATTTTACTTCTTAAAATCACCTTTTTTTAAGGTTTAGATATTTTCCAAATAACTATTTAGTTAAAAAGGCCGACATAGAATGAAACAATTGTTTAAGTGGTGATTGTTTAACGTGTAATTATTGCTAAAATAGGGAACAATACAATAAGAGGGCAACAATCTTTCCAGGCATGTTTTCTGGAATCTTAACCACTAAATAAGTTCAATAATCTGAGAACTAATAGCTTTCCCACCTTATCCTAAGTCTCTTGACCGAATAGCGTTCCATCGAGAGAATCAGTGACCAAAAGAATAAGTACAAATTAAGCAGACAACATTTTATTCATTGGTCACGCTCAATTTAATAACAGAGTGACTGAGCCGACTTCTGGATTCTATCATTAGCTACAAGATCCACGTCAACATGCCAAATGTACACTAGCATTATAGCATACAGCATGATGCCAACATGAACCACTTTAACTCACAGTTAATCAACTTAATCCTAACTCAAACCTCCACTGCATCTCATATCTCAGCCTTCTACTTTATAATGTAAGAAAGTCTCTGCTAAAAGACAGTGCCTGTTAATCCCTCTCAACCATAAAGAAGCTCACAAACCCCCTTTGGATGACTTCCGAACCCAAATAGCTTGTTTCTGCACCCATTCCTATTACAGGTAATGAATCTATATCAAAACCTCTTTCTGCAGATTTATTATAATCTTCATAATCACTTCCACCGGAACTACTCTCCTCTGGAGTTTGAAGCGAATCTGCCTCAGCTTAATCCGTTTTTAAGTCACCATCCAACATGTCTGCATCTGCTTCAGGAAGTCGTTGCTGAAGGGGCACAGCGTCACTGATAACTTGACCCATCTTCAGTTTCTCTCTATAATTCTCCATTTCTGCTCTGTACCTCTCTTTTATCTTTCATGGCCTTCTCTTGATAAACCTTTAGGACAATTAAACTCAGTGCATTAATATAACATTACACAAGACACAAGAAAAAAAAAACAAAAGGAAGATGCATGCATGATGGGCTTATATCATGCATGAAAAAATACATGAAAGAAATTACTTACCGTCTTTTCTGATTCTTTTAACTTGTTCCAAAGTTCACCAATCATCCTACTAATCTCTCTGTCTTTTCCATGGTGAAGTGCCTTTAGTCTTGCATGCTGTTCAGCAAAGAAGAAATTGTACCCACTTCTGTTAGGTTTTGGATGAGCAGGATCTCTTCTTTTTATTTCTGATTTCTTCCTGCGTCTCCGACGATGAACACCCACTGAAGAAGAAGCGTTGGTATTATTAGCTGGGGCACTATGATGGGATGCGTGCAGTATAGGATTCTGTGGAGCTTGATAAAGTACTCCTTTGAGTTTCTCTGAACCAATCGTGACAGTAACTAGATAGCCACTTTCAAATTTCCCGTCAATGACCCCAATGACTGGAGATCCAGCCGAAGATGTTGTCATTGCTGAAGACCACAAGAGAATAAGCATTACTACTACTTATCAAATAATCAAACAGTCTAGTTAAAAGACATGGAGTCGCTGATGATCATTAAAAAACCATACAAAAAAAAAAAAAAAGTGCAACTTCAAGTCTATTAGTAATATAAAAATTGGTCAACTTCTTGTAACCATTAGTTTGCAAGAGATTACAATTTTGCAGATGAACTTTAGTACAATTTAATACCATGGCCAAATCAAAAAGACAAGTTCAACTGTTAGTAATAGAATAAGTGGTTAACTTCCCGTAAATCTGATACTTTTATAAGAGATCTCCCTTTTGCAAATGATATTTCATACAAATTAATATTATAGCCAAATCAATACAAGTGAGCCAAATAAACGCAAACTCATAAAAATATGCCACAAATTTTCAAAATATATAGAAAACAATTTCCAGTTTGCACAAAATGGGCATTGAGATTTGATACAATGCTCATTTATATTATGTCATGGAACATAAATCTCAAAAGGAGATAAAACACTAGATCTGCTTCTGGTAAACCACGTCGTGGCACCTAGCATGCATATAAAACGTTAGGTACTTAATCATGCTCACACCAACTCTAAACCTGCTCTCAAGTATGACTATTTCATGAAAAAAAAAGGGGGTCATGTTTGGATATACAGTAATGAGTTGAGGAAAGTGGGCGTAAAAATAATAGAATTACTATACCATTCATTAGATATTTTATGGTGGACACGAGAAGGTAGTAAATTTTGCTTCCTATTGTTTAAAAGTTGGACGAAATGGTGAGAATTAGAATTGGTCCATCCAATATCCCCAAATTGAGGGAATATCCCATTAAGTTCCATTCTACTTTGCTCTAGCCAATCCAAAAATGGATACCGGTGTCATTTCATTCTATTCCAGTCCACCATTTTCGATCATTCCAAGTGTAGTCTTAAAAAGTGCTGTAAGACTAAAATTACCATGACCAGGATAAACCTTTTTTTCTTTTGCTTAGTAAATTGTAATCAGCAATTAATATTGTTTTGGGAAAACAAAAAGAAAGTATAAAGACCTTCAGGCAATTTAGCAGCATTAACATTTGACTGTTGAAAGACGGCTGGTTGAATTTCTGGCAAAGACTGTGGAAACTGAATTTTTGGAGGAGGAACTGCCAGGGTTGATTGGTTCTGCAAAACATCTGTCAAAGAGAAATGAAGACTTTACATTAGAACGGACCCACCCTTAACATTAGTTCAAACCAACAATGTGGTTTAAATGAAATTACCAGGAGCAGTAGGGTCCCATTCCCGGGATTTAAAATAGTAGATTTGTTCATAATGGTAAAGCAGTGAAGCATAGTACTTCCTCAACACAAAAGAAGCATTTGTGGCTGTTGACGGAAAATTGAAGACTGAAGTTACGTCTTTCCATTTCCTCTCTCTAATTATCTGCAAGACAGATGAACTGGTTATAACTTTTAGCACTACAACCACAATAGTGAAAATAATTCACAGTTTTCTGCTAGAATATCATACAAAAATGCGTTCTTTCCATTCAAACCATAATATAGCTATAGAAGTATGGAGGACAATAGATACCCAAAAACTTCTCACGACATTGTTCTATCATAATCTTGAACTGAGAACACTCTAGAAAAAATATTAAATACAAGATAAATTGAACTAGATTATAATCAAAATTTACAAAAGCATAGAAACCGTTATTCACACGAACAATACAATGACCTTGAACATTAAAAGAAAGTTGAGCCTCCTTGATAAACATCAATATAATGAAAAGGGAAATTNGTTGTAACATGTGTGCATGGTCTGTTTGTCATTCTGGGGCTAAACCTAACCTAATTTGTTGGAACTGAGTCTTTTGTGGTGTGATTGGGACAGGTTGGGAGACCTGCATTCGATGAGTTTCTGAAGAAATATATTGCTACCTTCAAGTTCCAATCAATTGATACTGAAACATTCCTTGACTTCCTTAAAGCTAACATACCTGGCATAGAGAACCAGATTGACTTGGTGCGGTGGACGGAAGGTACTGGCATTCCTCCTGATGCTTATGAACCTGATTCAACTATTTATAAACAGATTGTTTCACTGGCAAATGAGTTCAAAAATGGGAGGATTCCAAGGGAAGATGAAGTTGCTGATTGGCAAGGTCTGCAGTGGGAGCTCTACTTGGAAAACTTGCCGGAACCGATTGAAGCTTCTCAGGTTAATACTGTTTTCTCAGATTCCTAGTGGTCTTTTTCTTCACTTCCTTGGTAACATCATTTGGATAAACATCTTATTCTGTAATATGGAACATAGTGGTTTGTTCAAAACAACCATATTGTTGATTTCACATATGTTATCTGTGTTATTCATCATAATTCTTTGTATAATACATGTCATCATGCAGCTTGTAGAGTTGGACTCACGCTACAAGTTAGCTGAGTCGAAAGATTACGATGTAAAGACGGCATTTCTCAAATGGGCTATTTCATGCGGATGCAAAACTTACTACAATGAAGTGGAGAAAACCTTAAAAGAAGTTGGGAGGATAAAGTATCTTCGTCCACTTTATACTGCTCTTATGAGTGGGAACGAAGATGATAAAGTATTTGCCAAAAGAGTATTTTCAGAAGCCCGTGAGTCTTACCATCCGATTGCTCAAAGTGTTGTTGAGGGTATACTTTCCAATAATCTGTAGAAGCAACAATTATCGGATTGTTTAATGTATTTGGACGTTTGCATGTTGTCTTTTTCTGTACTCCTTTACAATAAATGAGGTTTATCTTCATTCTGTCACTTTAATAACTACTGCAACGAGAATCTCTTTCATAATTCTTCTTCTTGAAACATTTCAGCCATTGATATAGGGTTATCTGGAGAGGAGAAAGAGTACATAAAAATTAGTGATGGAGATTTCTACTGTAAGATTTTTATATAATAA